GCTCGAGTCAGTGTTCCTCGTGGCGAAGGCCTCTAGAGTCCTGTTCATCATTTCCCAAGTGTTTGCCCATGTCATAGCATCCGGTCCTGCGTTGCTGTTAGCTGTTGAGTCCCCCGGACCAGCCGTTGTATTCGACGTTGCACTCTTCATTATTGTTTTTGCAGCTGTTGGTGCTATGCTCACCGTATCCCGGGTTAGGGACAACGGTGTCGATTGCCGTTTGTTCCTTTGTGGTTCCACAAAGTCAACTCTGGTGCCTTGTGTACGATCCGCTGCCGGTCTTTCCTGTGAGGTAGAATTTCTCAAGATTGCATCCAATTTCGTCTGTATTGCACACGAACTTTCGGCCTGATTCTTGCTCATTGTGTCCATTCTCTTTTCCAGGCTACCTAATTGGCTGTTGACATCCTCATATCGGTTTTTCAATTGTTGCATATCCTTTTTGATATTCTTCTCTCGTTCTTCATTGGTGGTTTCTACCTTATCTGACATTTCCTTGAGTCTCTCATCCGTTGCCTTTGCCAGGTTAAAATAACTATCCAGATACTCGTGCTTGTTGTATCTTAATTCTTTTCTTATCACCTCTCTGTCCTCTTCACTGTGCTTTAGTTTTTTGTCAATCTGATCCAGTTTCGCCATCAAGTCACCCAGCTCAATGGTAGCCTCATCATGGTCAGCCGTCGGTCTCTTTTTGGCCGTAGCCTCTGCTTTAGCTTGTTCCTCTCTTGGATTGGCTTCTGTCGTCTTCGTGCTCACTGTCCCAAATGTTCGTGCTCTTTCAGCTTTTGGTTCTTCAGTCACGTTTTCTTTCGTTTTTATTCCGACCATCATTGCCAATTTTTCCGTAAAAGATGTCTTTTTTACTTGAGAGTCTTCTTTCACCGTTTCTTCGGTGTTGCCTATTGCATCTTCCGCATTGTCTATGGGTGAGAACTCTATGGGTTTCGGGTTTGGTTCTTCTGCATTGGGCATTGGAGTTGACTCCGTCGCCATTTTCCCTGTTTCATCTACACTTTGATCGGGTGTCTCTAGATCAATCTCGATGGTGGGTTCCACTCGTTCCCCCTCCGTGCCCTCTTTTGCCCTGTTCTCCGCTGTACTCCTTGTGCTGACCATGTTAACTGAAAAGTTCTTCTTTGTTATCTTCGGGCCCATTGATGTTGTTTTGCGTAGCGATGAATTATACTTTGCTTCGATAGGTCTTTTTTCAGCTACCGGTACCCTGCTCCGCCTCATTATTTCTATTTACAATTGCTTTTATTTACAATATTATTATATACACAATTCTATTCTAAGAATAAAAATTTTGTGGAAACAAATTCTGTACAACGTGTTAAAAACCTTGTTCCAGTTCTCTTTCTAAAACCTCCGAAAAACTTCCTTTAATGTGGTCCCAACCGTACCGGTTTCGATTAGTCTTATTCTGTCTTAAAACACACACTTGTCGTAATTTTACTTCAGTTTTTATGCCGTCCCAAGATTTCCAATTACCGTCTCTACTCTTCTTTGTACCGTCCCAGGCTTCGTCCTACTGCCCCAAGACTGTTCGGTACTATCACAGTACTTTCCGCTAGTGTCCCCAGACCAGTGTCCCAAGACTGCCGTCCCAAGGCTAGTGTCCCAAGACTAGTGTCCCAAGACTACTGTCCCAAGACTAGTGTCCCAAGGCTAGTGTCCCAAGACCAGTGTCCCAAGGCTAGTGTCCCAAGACTACTGTCCCAAGACTAGTGTCCCAAGGCTAGTGTCCCAGGACTACTGTCCCAAGACTACTGTCCCAAGACTAGTGTCCCAAGGCTAGTGTCCCAAGACTACTGTCCCAAGACTAGTGTCCCAAGACTACTGTCTCAAGACTAGTGTCCCAAGGCTAGTGTCCCAAGACTACTGTCCCAAGGCCACTGTCCCAAGACCCTTGTCCCAAGACCCTGTCCCAAGACCACTGTCCCAAGACCTCCGTCCCAAGACCCTGTCCCAAGACCCTGTCCCAAGACCCCTGTCCAAAGGCCACTGTCCCAAGACCCTTGTCCCAAGACCCTGTCCCAAGACCACTGTCCCAAGACCCTCGTCCCAATACCCCGTCCCAAGACCCTGTCCCAAGACCCTTGTCCCAAGACCACTGTCCCAAGACCCTTGTCCCAAGACCACTGTCCCAAGACCCTGTCCCATGACCCCTGTCCCAAGACCACTGTCCCAAGACCCTGTCCCAAGACCCTCGTCCCAAGACCACTGTCCCAAGACCCTTGTCCCAAGACCCTGTCCCAAGACCCTCGTCCCAAGACCACTGTCCCAAGACCCTGTCCCAAGACCCTTGTCCTTGAGACTGTATCAAGACTGTTCTGGTCCAACACTGTCCCAGTATTGCACTGTCCCAAGACTGTCCCCAGACTGCTCTGTCCCAAGACTTCTTCGGTACTGTCCCAAGACTCGTCACGGAGTGTCTGGATATCGGATCTGTCTCTTCTTTGTTGTAGGGTCTTCTTGATTCACCGTACCTTGTACCACCACTCAAGCTCTAGTAAAATTTCCCCAAAAACCCTCTCTTAAAAGCCAAGTGCTGACCCCCCTTTTCTTTTTGGTTATTTCTATTTCAATGTTCCAAGCAACTTGAGACCAAAACCTGTGCGCAGGTATCTTGTGATCACCTGTTCGTATAAAACCAAACACCAATCCTCACCAAAATGCAACAGAAAATCCAAGTTAGAAGAAGTAATAAAAACAGAAAAATGAGCCCACCTGAAATTCAAAGGTGACCAATGTCTACCTTTCGTCAAAAAAAAATGTCTGGTACCTAATTGCCACGCGTTTTCCTCCCCCCACTAGTGATCTTATGGGGTGTCACAAAAGCTGTCTATATACGGTCCCCCCTACCAAACCAACCAGCGTACCAGTCTTAACTCTAGTTAAATTTCGGATATCCACCTATTATTACCAACGCGTGTTATGTCTAATGTAACTAAATCCACGATGTCGACTAATTAGTTACTCTAGTTTCCCCCCCTTTTTACAATTTACAACCGCTCACCTCTAACCTAACCAACCCCCCTTCTAACCTCCCCCCTTTCTAGCCCCCCTTCTTAAGCCTAAAAATTACCTTAAGCGCCGGGTGCTAGACCTCTCAAGAGAAAACCGTAGACCTGTTTCCAGGCCTGCTTAAGTAAAAACGTTCCTCAAAACAGGGGGAATTTCGCTTATCCAATTTTACACTCATCTCCTATAATGTAATGTGGATTTTAACGATACCCGTTGTGCCCAACTTGGGAACTCGAGAACTGTCAAATCCTTCTTGGCTGCTTTCCTTCTCGACTGATCACCTGTTCCAGTCCAGTCTCCTATTGGTACAGCTCAAGTGTTCCTGAACCAGTTTCCCACTCGGCCGGTCACCTCTTCCAGTCGAGTCTCCTATTGGTTCAGCTCAAGTGATTCTGAACTACCTTCCTACTCGGCTGGTCACCTCTTCCAGTCAGGTCTCCTTGTAGTCCAGCTAAGTTCCAAGCTATCTGAAAACCCCTGACAACGCCCCACACTCGGGCACTTTATTAAGGTTACTGGGTTAAATTGCTAGGTTGATCGAAACGATCGAACTTGTAAAACAGTATGGGTATACTCTTTAATTAATATAAAGGTTTGATCCAACTGATCTGGTGTCAAAGTCACTGTCTTTTTTCGTTTTATGGTTTTTGTTCCTTTTTCTATTATTTTTTGGTTTTTGTTTCGCTTTTTGTCTTTTTGCTCGTGTTTTTGTCCCCCTAGTTGCCCCCCTTTACTCGGTTAGCTAAGCCTCGTTCGGAGAGCGTACCAGGAAATTTTCTCGAGTTTTCTTAAAAAGCTATCACGGTACAACCGGAAGGTTTGCACGTTCCTGTCGAACCGTACCGCCGGTACTCTAGAATGGGCATTCAGCCCGAAGCTGTCTCAAGTGGGTTTGACTCCGTAGTCTTGATGTCGTAAACACCCAGGAGCGCCATAAAAACACTATGTAACATTCGTCTACTGCAGTCACACATGAGGCTTAAGAAAAATAGGCCCTATAACTATTGGCTCAAGAGTCAGGGACACTATCTCTTGTGTTTTTCCACCTCAAATCAGTCGGAGCCAATTCGGTTCGCTTGTGACATGAGACTACGACCCGCTACTGCTTAAGGCTACTACCAAAATATCCCCCCACTCTAGAATTAAGAACGTCCCCATACTTAGGTCTCAAAATACCCAAAATACATGAACGCCGTTAAAAACCGGGTCGGAACAATCCGTTAAGTTACTTTTTATTAGACAGTGGAACTTTGATCCATTTCAGATGGATCAACCTAAAACTCGCCTTACCTCAACATAACAATCACAGTATACACTCTATAATTTAAATGTGTACTCACATAGTAGCACGCTCAAGAATTGGGAAATAATCCAGTCGGCAATTAACTCAAGAATCAATAAGGTAACTAAGATGAGTTTAATGTCTGTCAGTTTTAACAACAAAAACAAGTTTATACTCTAGACTGCAAGTTCTCGTGAACCTTTGGGACACTCTAGCTGTCCACCTTTCCACCGAAGGTTCACTCTGGTCCAGTTAATAATAGTACTCCAATCACAACAATCCAGTTCGTGGGAATGCGCTCCTCTCTGTTTCAGATGGGACAGCTCTACTCTAGATTATTATTGCTACTGAAATTGCGAATAGCAATTTCCCACTGATTTTTTCTAGCAACTTTCCCGCGATTGTCACTTGATTGTTCTGACTTCTCTTTTTTGATTTTCAGTTATCGCGAGAAAATCGTGCATGACAGGCTCCATTCGAAGTTTTGAAAAATTAAATTTCACTCCAAAATCAAGTGTTTTTTGCTTCTCTCAAGGTCAAACTTCCAATTATGACCGACTGGCACACATCTCAATTGGCTTTTCTTTGCTGGCCATACTCTTGCTTCGTGAATTGGGGTTTTGCCTGTTATACCCCCATCAAATTTGGTCTTGATTTTTATTATTAGACAGTAATGGTATAGTAGAGACGATCCGTTTTCGTGTTAGAAATGATGTATGGAAACGACGTTTCATTTTATATTTAAAGATGAATTTTTTCTAGATAAAAATTGACAGCATTTTGGAACTGATTGACTACAACTGGACAACTGACCACTCGAGCTCAGCCCCAAGTGATTACGTAACTGAATTTATAAGAAATTTAAAATGTTAATTCAAGCGTTTTCGCACATTTTGTTAATCAGGATTAAATTTTTTTACAATATTTACAAAACGATCAAAGATCTGAAAAATGAGAAAACCCGCAGGTACAGGTTATTACCCGCACTGAAATTACATCATACCTCAAAAACATCCGGATGACGAATGAGAACACACTGAGCAACGTAGTGGCTCTATGATTTTATTGCATATTTTCGAGCTCAAATCTGGTTTATATTGACATTTTTCTAGAATCTTTACAATTTTTTTTGCACAAAATCTGATTTACAATGATTTTCTACATTTTTGTTGCATATTTTTGGGCACAAAATGTGATTTACATTGACCCATTTAATCATTTGTTTTTATAAATTTTTGCCCAAGATCTGATTTGCAATAATGATTTACTATGATTTCATTGAATATTTTCGAGCTCAAATCTGGTTTATTTAGACAATATTCTTGAGTTTGTACAGATGTTTTTGCACAAAATCTGATTTACAATGATGATATTTGGTATTTTTGTTGCATGTTTTTCGTGCCGAAAATCTTGTTTATGTTGATGATTTTCATGATTTGTGTCGTTTGGTTTGAATTCAACTTTTGCATTGAGTTTTCAATTAGCATGCTTTTACGAAGAAAAAAATCAGTTCTTCTGACAATTTAATCAATTGTTTTGACAACATAGTCAATTTTATGGCGATAGCATTAGTTTTTGTTGCGGTTTTATGGCGAAAACAATAGACTTTATTGCAATTTTATGGCAAAAACAAAAGATTTTATTGCAATTTTATGGCGAAAGCAATCAATTTATTGCAATTTCACGGTGATTTCAGGGCAAAAAAAATTAGATTTTATTGAGATTATGTGGAGATAAAAATACATTTTAGTGGAATTACAAGGCAATATATTCTTGATGAAAATAATCTATTTTCTTTCTATTATAGAAAATGTTGCTTAAATTGGTTACACATAATCGATTATAATGGCAATTTTTTCGGCAATATTTTCTCAATATAATCTATTTTTTTCCGAGAAACTTCGGTGCGGGTAATAACCTTAAATCTAGTGTTCGAAATTATCTTTCAAATTGGCCAATAAACCTAATATAAGCGTAAATTTAACATCGATATCTGCTAAAAACCAGGCCAGTCTGAATGTAACTTTAAAATTGGCCAAAAATCATAACTTATGTTAAAGTTCAACCTTGAAAGTTTAATGAAAATTTAATATCTAGTTTGAATTTAACTTTAAAATCGGCCAAAAACCATAAATTTAACGTTAGTTTAACCGAAAACCTTACATCTAGTTAGAATTAAAGTTCGAAATTTGTCAAAAAATTTACAAAATTTTGGAGTTGGGTGTTTAGAGTTTTGTGAAGCGAGAGACGAAAAAGAGGGTAGGTAAGGATGCCGGTGATGTTGGCGGGAATAGCAGAGACTCTGGTGCACAAGTTTCTGTTCGAGTTATTCATGCACACCATCAAAAACAAGAGGAAGATCATTCAACCACGGGACTTACTCGGTAATAGATTTGGATCTCTTTAATTATTGTCGCCCTTGGGGTGCCTAGTAACGAGTTGCCACCATTATAAAGAAGAATATATACGTTTTCAATGGTTAAGCATATGGTTAAGCATATACATTTCAATGGTTAAGCATATATACATTTTGTACCTAGCAAAAAATCTCCCCACTTTTGCAAGGGGGTATAGTTGAAGAGATCCCCATTTTAAGGCCACCTTTTTGACTAAATTCCTCTTTTTTGCCGATTTACTTTCGACTTTTCTTTCGAATTATTCGATAAAAACATTTCAAAGCTTTTTTACTCCTCACCCCACTGCATAGTATCTATTTTTTTAGGATTATGCATATTTTTAGGGATTTCTCCTTATCAGCTATGAAGAAAATAGTATCTGATATGAATTGATTATTATCAGAATAGTTATTGATTTGTTCAGCATTCAAAATTTCATGATTAGATTTTCACTAAGTTTAGGTAGTTTTCAAAATTGAAACTCAAAGGCCAAAGTTCTCTGCGTTGTGGGGAGAATGGAAAAAATCCAATTTTTGTATATTTTGCCATTTTTCACACCAAGTTAGAGCCTTCTCCGATAGATAAAAACAGGATTAGCAAAGAGAGTGTTAATAAAAGTCTGTTGTAGGTCAAATAATGAGCTCAGAATATAGTTTCCGCTACATTTTCAAACTATGGATGGTGAAAAAAAAATTGTTACACCAGTTTTCGTATGTTGCGTCGTCGACCATCTTTTTCGCCGATGAAGTTGAGTTCTTGAAAAGTTTGACCTTTTTTTGCAAAACTTTTTTGAACACTTTTTAGGCATAAACGAAGTTTTTAGGCAATTTCTGGGCGGTTTTGACCAAAAATGGCGTATGGATAAAATTGAATCAAAAGGGGCACCGCCCTCACGAACCCGAACCCCCCTACGCCCTAAACCCGGACCTGATTATTGTTCGTCTTCATTTCGGCAGGTGTAACCCTTCTCGCTTTGATTCTAGCCGCTCTCGAGGGGTGCGAACATCTGCACATTCTCAAGATCAGATTCTCCCCAAAACTGCCTGGCGCCGGAGTCATCCCCCCTCGCTTTCTCGACAACCTGGACCTAAAATCGCTTGCCAATACAACCAGTCTGAGTCCAAAAATACCTTCCCTAACATCTGGAAAAAATTCTAAGTCAGTTCCCGGTGCACCGAAAAAGAGTCCCAAAGTCCGTTCTCGTAAGTCCGAAAAGACCCCCAAAACCCTTCCTCGTTTGTCCGAAAAGAGCCCTACAAAGATCGATGACATGGATGAAGAGATGGAGTTTCCTATTACCCCGGAAGCATCAGATGATGAAGAGCCCCCGAAATGGGATGTTAGTTTCCAGAATTCTTTTGTCACTGTTAAGCATATTTATAGAGAACTTACGTCAAACCCTCCTTCCACGTCTCTCAGTGGTAAGGTCCTTAAACACATGAATTTTCCCTTTTTAGCCCTATTTATGGCCGACCAACCCTAAAAGTGAATTGCGGCATGCTGTTTAATCCATTTAAAACTATGCAAAATACATCACTTTTTTTTACTTGAAATAGCGCGTGTAGGGATAGCTTTTGAGAAAAAAAATAGAGTATTTGTTTGACTTTTTTATTAAGTTCTTTTAATAGCGCAAACTTTTTTCAATAGAGCTTAATAGACAGTTAAAGTTTTGATCAACTTGTGGAATTTTTTTCGCTTGGGTAATTTTTCGACGAAACATTTTTTCTAACGAAACAATTTTTACAGTTTTGGCTTTGACTCAACAATGCGAATTAAATGCGAATAAACTAATCCAAACCTTGTCTCAATAAACCCAAATAGTACGTTGTACTTGACTGGATTTTGCTTGCTGAGGGTAGATTCTCAAAAAATAAAACTGCTCAGAAATTTTGTTTTTTTTTAAGATTCTTTTTTAAAAAAGCAGTCGCTGATTCAGACACTGCAAGCACTGCCCTGATACGAGACCTCTTGTTGATCCAACTTTCGAAGAACATGACTAAAATTTTTTCCTACCATCTGAAAGATATTGTTGTCTATAGCTCAAATATAAAACAAATTTTCACCAGTCGTCATCTTTTTTTTTGGGATATGATGATTTTCAAATAGGCAATTTGGCCATTTTGGGATAACTAAACCGCAATAAGTTGCGCTCTTAAAACACTCGCAAGCGACAGAATGAATTGTTCTAAATCAAGTTAAGGCAATCTAATCTTATTATCAGGATACCAGACGCTAAATTGTTCTTTGCATTTTAGAAATAACATATAATAAAGAAGAAAAGAAAATTAAAAAAATTACTTGTCCAATTTTCAATCAAAGTCAATTGAATTGGTCTTAAACTGCATTTAAAACATTCAGTGATTAGCTACGATATACAAGCAGTCTTGCTTTATTTGATTGGTGAAGTGAAACAGTGTTGTGAAACCCTGAAAACCCCAACTGCCATTCAAATATTCTGATGTAGTGTTTTGTAGATTTCGGGGATTATTTCTCTAGGTCCGTTCACCCACTCTAAATTAACGGCGCCGCAAAGTGGTCCCCTTGGTAATGAATTTAGCGGGGCGACCGAAGTTCACTACTATCCACAATTGCGAAAGGTTTAAGTTTGTGGCAACTATTCTGTACTGTATTCTGTTAGTTGCCCCTTTTTTTAGCTGCTCTTGAGGCTGTCTCGAACACTCTCGCCGATCGCAAGAATTTCCAGTAGTAATTAATTTCATTCAGATAAATATTGGTCTAAATACAGAAGGCTCTAGGCGGCCCGAGTACAATCTAGTAATCTAACCAAAAGGAAAAGGTCCGCGATCAATTAACACAATTGCCTAATTGCAAATCAAATTCCAAATAATTTAGCCAACAATTCTATCTTCTTTACAGAATCCTAATTATTGAATTACCCACAGTCATTCCACACTATTACTCAGTCCGACCTGCAAATTTAATAGTGTCACTAACGATAACTATTTCTTTGAGGTACTTTGACTGATCTCTTTACTTCGCAATTCCTGATTCTCTAACTAACTGAGAACCAACCGCTCGCTCTCACGGCACAATTGTTCTCTAAGTAACTGAGAACCAACTACACTCACTAGTAACTCACACTGTTCTGCCTAAGGGTAGGCTGGTTGCTATTCTCTATAATGTTTGTCTATTTGAGTTTTAGTTATAGTTGAATTATGTCGTCCGTACAAGTCATGACATTTACTTTGGTACCCATTTCGCAAAGTCTTAACAACATTCTTCCTCTGATGACACTAGTCATAAATTTCAAGTTCAATATAGGTGTCTCTAATTAAGTTGTGCAAATATCAAGTCCAATTTCACCTCGACACTGAGTTATGTTTAATTCATCAATCTCCCAAGGTTTTTATTTCATTATCCCATTAACGTTCCGACCTCCAAGGGGTAGGGAAAGACCCTTTTTCTGGATTGCTAACTCATTCTAAGCAACTACAATTCCGATCTACACTCTATTCAAATTCCGAACTTCTAGCTATCAGGGGAACGTAATTCGCTTAATAGGGGCCGAGTCGTGTCAAAAAGCCACGTCCGGGTAGCTGAGTAAATACTCCTTTCGTTCATACTATTTAGGCGACCTATTTTTGTTTAGTCAGATTGAGTTTTTTTAAATAGTGCATTCGCCAAGCTAAATTGAACCCAATATTTGCCAAGCTCTTTTTAATTGATTCCACTAATTTAATCATACAATGTATAAGTTATATCTCTTTCAGCTTCTCATTTACTTCCCAATATGTAAGTTCCCTCCCAATTATTAGTAAGGTGACCAATTGCCGTTCCCAAGGGTTGGAGTCGAATGAATACGCCCCTTTCCGGTGTTAATCCCGAGGTTTTTTATGCAATTTTGGTCCTAAACGCCCAAAGGTCAGTGAGAGGTCACCCCGGGGTCAATCTCCTACATTCAGTTTTAGAATCCCGTAGGAGTCCTACCTACCAAGTTTCGTTTTATTTTGTCCATTATCACTTTTTACGGGAAAAAGCTATAAACACCGGAAGGAGCCGTCGGAGGGATTTTACTCACAAGGGGTCTTTTTTCGAGGCTGAGTTGAACTGCCTATCGCCGCCATGAAATCAATATGCCCCCGGTCATTTTTTGCGTAAATTGTCTGTTTCCGGTTTCAGGGGTAATTTTTCCAAGTGCTAATAACTTCAGGTTCAACCGCCGGATATGGTTCAAATTATACTACATGATGTATCTCGTTACTACCTATAATGTCCTTAAGTTATAGCTCCCTGCGTTCAGTGGGGTCCAATAAACGACTTCCGGAAGTCGGGGTGGGGACTATTTGCATAGAGAACAGCTTCCCTCAACTAGTTCTATAACATACTATATTTTAGTTCCATTCCAACCGCTAGTTACCGAAGTCTGATAGGGCCATTTGGACTTCGGGGAACCGTTATCACTTGGTCCCGGGGGGTCCGACATCTAGATTTTTGCATGCCCGCGGTCAAATCATCTAGTGATCGTCAGTAGTATATAATGGGGCAGTTCAGTCGGGGGGGGGGGGGGGGGGGGTATGCTGTGCGGGCCCCCATGTATTAACATAGGCTATAGAGTATCCGGTCCGCACCCTATGTATTAACATAGGCTATAAAAATCCCAATGTATTAAGATAAGGAATAAGTTTCCCAATGTACTAAGATACGAGGTTTCAGATGGTAAGAGTCAGAAAAATTTTTGTCGCCCGAATTTTTTGAGCTCGGTTTTTGCCACAACTTGCGTTTCTTAGTCAACTTCTACGATTTGTGATATGAAAGGGCTAACTTGTCTTACATAAATTCGGTATGGTAAGTTTCAGAAAGTTTTTTGAAATATTTTTTAAGTCTTACTTGCAAATACATTTTTATATTGAAAAAAGATTTTTATATTAAAAAATCGAAAGTTTTTTTTTGGATGGTAAGTTTCAGATGGTAAGTTTCGACAAAAATAAAGTTTCGATTTTGAGTATGGGATCATAAACTAATATATCACAGAATACTTTTTTTTTCTCGAAAGAATCTTTTAATTTCTCATTTCATGTTATTTATTTTCCCTCAGGTTTTCTGGGGAAAATTGTCAAGAGGGGATTATCTTTGACAGGTTAGTTATTCCGCTCCACGGGATATCAGGGGAGTTTTGACAGCTCCTCACGGTTGATTACTTTTATATCCCACTTAATCTTTTTTCCCCAGATTATCTGGAGAACGGATGACAGGTTCATTACACTTATTAACTTTATGACTTATTTTATCTTTTTTCACATAATTATCTCACTTATTTTTACCTCAACTGGTTTATTTATTCTGTCATATTTCTTGCTACGATTCGTTTCAGTTCTCATTCATCACATTGTTTTAAATCTTTAAAAAATTTTTGAAATTTCCAAATTATAGTAAGTATAGAGAAAAATATAGTATCATAATTTTTTTGGGTCTGATATTTTTGTGTAATAATTTTTCCATCTTTCTCAGAGTAAACTTTTAAGAAAACTATACAATTTACTAGAAGTTGGTTACAAGTTTTGTAAATTTATATACTCTATCGTTAATTCTTTCAATTGGTGGACTACAACATCCATATTTTATCACCATTCTCCGTATTTAATCAAAGGGTTTAGTTGCTAAGATAGTTTTCGTAAAAAATTTAAGGAATTTAAAAAGTTAATTTACACTGAATAAATTGCGTAGAAACCACACAAATTATCAGTCTTCTGTAGCTTTCGAGAAACCATTCGTGGAAACTTTTTCGTCAAAAAGGGGTAAGTTGATCTCTTTCTTCCCAAAGAATCTGCAAAGTAGTAGCTTTTATCCAGTCGAGCAATAATAATCCAGTGTTCTCCTCTATCATTGCTTGGGGCTGAGTTAATAATTGCAAAAGAGTATTTTGTTAGTTGAGGTACTGTATCAGAAGGGTATGATCCCATGTACTTGAACCTGAGCTCTGGAATTCTTTCAATAAATTGCAAAAGTGAAAAATTATCCATCTTTGCAATTGTAGGCTGATTTACAGCTAAAAATGAAATTGATAGTTTGATAGTGTACTTTAGGTTAAAAAATGAAAAAATAATGATTTACACACATTTAGGAATTGAATCAACAAAGTCCCATACACAAGCTTTAAGTAGTGGGCAAAGTTTATTGAACACTGTTATACAGTCTAGGTTGAAGTGTCTCGGGTTTTCAACTAAACAGCATTCTTTCTCTATTCTTTCTGGAGCTTTAGGTCTGAAGAGAAACAAAATAGATAGTACAGAGATTATAATAAAGAAAAGTCCCAAAAAAGTTACAATATTTTTATAGGAACCTGAAAACTCATAAAATTTAAACATTTTTAGCGACTGT